ACTGGCTTTTCCTTTTTAATTAATTTTTTTTTTTATACTTGAGGGAATCTCTGTGAGATATTCGAAGACAGTATATTTTAAGTGTTGTAAGCAAGACCAATGTGCGTAAATAGGAAAAAAAAATATACTGTCTTAGCAAGTATATTTTATATTGGTTTTGTATGTTGCGCACAGCTCTTTCAAAACGGTTGTGGGGTTTCTTTTAATCTGTGGAACTCGCTGGCAGCGTTCAACCTGTTGAATTGTTTTCATATTTCCCAAATACTGAGAATATATGAATGACTTTGAACAGTGAAAGAAGATTCCACGTGTTTCATTTGAAAAAGCAATTTAGTCAGTAAAATCTTTTCTGAAGAACTTGTCATTAGAAGCCAGATCAGAGTTGTATTCCTTACTCCCCTGCATGACTATTAGAAAAATAATTTAAGAGCTTTGTGAAATCAGTTGCTGCTTTTGCATGAGAGGCTTACTTTGAAGGTTGGTTGTATTTTTCTTATTTGTTTGGTTTGGGTTTGTTTGGGTTTTTTGTGTTGGTTTTTTTTTTTTTTTTCTTCTGGGGTGTACCTGTGAGATAAAATTTATTTCAATAATTAGAAAGGATTTTAACATTTACAGATGCGATCTTTCATAGAGCACTAGACCTGCAGACTTCATCCCAACTGAGCAGTGAACTGCAGTAGCAAGGTTTTAATAAGCTGCTAGGCTTGTTTGCTTGCTTGCTTATTTTTTTGTTACTACTGCTATACTAGGCCTGTTGCAGTAATGCAGTGTTTGCCATCTGTGACGTTGGCAGTGCTGCTGAATCAGGCTTCGATATTCCTGACCATTTTTCATTATCCCCAGTGAGAACGTCTTCTGGCCTCTGTCCTGTTTGGGAAATCATTTGTAGGTTTTTTGTCCCAGATAAATCCATGATGAGAGATGTTCTTTTTCCCATATTAGGAAGGCCAGCTTATGTGAAAGATAAAAACTTGTTAAAACAAACTATTTTCTTGCTTGTTGATATGTGGTTAAGACTATTTCTTCAGTAGTTAATGTCTATGTAATTATTTCATTAGGTATTTATTGCACAGTCAAGAGCTTCTGGAAGCCACCGAGACGTTGAAGATGAGGAGCTTACACGAATCTTTGTTATGATACCAAAATCCTATACAGAGGAAGATCTGCGAGAGAAGTTTAAGGTACTGATTCACTATTTGTTAATTGCTATTTTAAATTATCTTTGCCTTAATTTATCAGAAGGGCTTAACGCATGGAACTTTAATGCATTTTCAAATATTGTAAATTAATATGCTTTTTAATTGTTCTAGATGTATGGAGACATTGAATATTGCAGCATTATTAAAAACAAGACTACTGGAGAAAGTAAAGGTTTGGGCTATGTGAGGTATTTAAAACCATCGCAAGCTGCCCGAGCAATTGAAGAATGTGATCGAAGTAAGAATCTGTCTGAACTCTTTCAAGTTTTTCACAATAAGTGTGTATCATCATTCATGTACTTTTAATTTTTAGTTTTGTTTGCAGGTAAATTATTTATGATGTAAACACATCTTGAGACAAAGTTCTATTGCAAATAAAAAAGTGTTATTAACATTTATTGAGAACAGTCACCTGATTACATTCTTGCAGGACCAAACTGCAAGTAAGATCAGTGAAAAGAGTTTGGAAATGGGTACAGAGTTTTCTTTCATGCATTATTATTGGCCTGTAATGTAGGCTTCATACACAGGAAAACCTCATTTTAATGTGTCCCTGCGAGTATGTATCTTTAATATTTGATAGAAAATGAATTTATATCTGATATATATTTGATAATCCATAGGGATTCTGTCATGATTACATTTATTTAAGAACAAATTCATCCTAATTGAAGTTTGGGCGGGGGTGTTGTGTTTTGTTTAATGTCATGATTAATCTGTTACAGAATGAAAGGCTTTGTATGCTTTATCACCAACCGTTTGTCACATGCTCTAGTACCAAAAAGGTGTTCATGAATTTGAGCGAGTCTGGTGGAAGACCACCAAGGTGGTCAGGGGCTGAAGCACATGGTTTATGAGGAGAGGTGGAGGGAACTGGGCTTTTTCGTCCAGGAGAAGAAAGGCTTTTGGGGAAGCCTAACAGCAGCCTTCCAGTCCAGCCTCCTGTTCAATGTTTCCTTGATCGCAAATATGAAACAACTTGGTGTGTGGGTATGGTTGTTTTTTTGTTGTTCTTGTGTGGGGTTTGGTTTTTTTTTTTTTAACTCTCCAGTAATATATGTGGTAGTTCCACATCATATCTATCATAAGTGCTTCTACAAAAATGACATTTGTGACAATTCCTGCATAGGAATATGGGGCTGAGATTACTTAGCAGTTAAATTTTGTTTCCTTTTTGCTATAAGGTTAAAATGAAATTAGTTGGATAGCCCAAGAGTAATACCTATTTCTTTCATAAAAGCAAAACCTAGATCAGTGCAAACATACATAAACTGCTGTTACAGTGTAGAAGTTGAGGTAATTGCCTCTGGAGCATCTCTGAATCCTGCCAAGTATCACAGAATGGTCAAAGTTGGAAGGGACCTCTGGAGGTCATTTTGCCCAACTGCCTCTGCTCGAGCAGGGTCACCTGGGCACTGTGGTTGCCCAAGACCATGTCCAGACAGCTTTGGAATATCTCCAAGGACGGAGACTCTGCAACCTCTCTGGGCAACCTGTGCCAGTGCTCAGTCACTCTTACAGCAAGTAGGCTCTGTTGTACTTAACTTGTGACTAGTAGTTCTACGTGGAAGTTGTTAACTTTCACACAAGTGTTATGGCAGACTTCAAGAGTTATAGATTAGTTATTTTCCTAAAGCCAGCACTTACTGGGTTTTCTGAATAATATATTTCTAAATACAATACTTGGAGAATGCAGGTCTGGTCAGGTAATTTAGATGTGCTGAGGTGTTGCTATATGAGTGGTTGTTTCTTTCAGGCTACAGGGCCATTTTGGCTGAACCTAAAAATAAGTCATCCGAGTCTTTTGAACATGATTATTATAGTAATAACACGAGGCAAGAACCAAGAGGAAATGCACTTCCGTTTTGTAAGTCATAGTTTTTTACACTAAAAATGATTTGTAGTCTTGTGTATGGTCACAAAGTAAGAATGCAGTTTGGAAGAAGGGAAGCTAACGGAGGCTTATGCCAACATTTAAATAGTAGATTGGATGTTGGAGTTAGAAACAAGCCAGGCATTTAGTTTCTGTATTTTTATGCCTTGCTTTGCTCTAGTTGGTTAATTATTTTGTGACCTGCATTGGTGAAATAAACATGTTACCTTGAGTATATATTTGACTTAGATTACTTTTAAAAGTTGAATGAAAATATGTATGAAAGGAAGGCATGCTGGTGTGGTGACTCAAATTACTTATTTTTATTTTAATTCTTGAGGTGGGCAGCCGGAGTTTTGTAGTTTTGAAAAAAATGAGAGCAGAATTCAAGAGTCAGTCTCCAAACGTCTGTCAGTGGTATCACGGCTTCCCTTTATCCAAGAGCAGCTGTTCGCTCTTTTTGATCTAGTCCCAGGACTGGAATATTGTGATGTTCAGCGAGATCCTCATACCAATAGTGGTAAGTGAAAGTACAAAAAAAAATATTTTTTTTTTCCCTTCTATGAAGGGAATGCCTTTTAATTGTACTTCAATTCATTTGTATTGCAAAATACAGTACACTTGTTGGAAAGAATTAATGTTTTATGTATTAATGGTTGCTGCTGACACTGATGCATAAACCCCAAAATTCAGTTTTGTTTGAAACCCTGTTGACAGATAGCCTTAAATACCTCTTGTTTTCAGATAGCAGAATTTCAAGGAGGACAGAATGAAAACCATGAGAAGTGTTTTTTTGGTTAAATTAAGTTAATAGTTTTGGCCAGAATAAATGGCAAAAAAGTTTAAAAAAACTATTAGACATCTAGTTTAACTGTTCTCTAAATAGATCTTTTGAGTTTTCATCTTGAAATGGGGGGGTGGTGGTATGTCTGTTTGTAGAAGCTGACATGAGTAAACTGGATTAAATAATTCAAAACCAAATAATGTTTTGTATTGGGGGGATTGTTTTGGTTTCAGTCTTCTTGTTTTGCTGTTGCCAATAAATATGTTGAAGAGGTCTCTTTTCCAAGAAGCTTGAAATGGAAATGATTCAGGGAGTTAAAATGTAACTTTACTTGAGATTCACTGTTGATGGGATAATAACATTTTAAAATGAAACTGTGTATGTTTTTGTTTCTAATTCAGGGTTAGGGAAGAAGACATGTTTTCACTTGTTGCTTTATTACCAGCTTTTCAAATTAGCGTAAGTATAGCTGGTCTGTCACTAGTTAGTTCCACTGAAGTTTTCTTCACAAATACTACTGATATTGCTATTAAGTAAGGTAATGCGTGGTAAAAAGACTTACGAATTCTGTATCATCCATGACTAATGTGCAGTTTAATCCTATTGCTTTATAAGTGTAGTTTGTTCTTAGGATTTGTCCGTATCGTACTGAAACTGTGTGCACTGTATTTGTAGGGTATGCTGTGATTCAGTACAGTACTGCTGCGTCAGCTATATATGCCAAGTATAAATTACACGGTTTTGAGTATCCTCCTGGAAATCGATTAACTGTCATTTTCCTGGAAGATGGGAGTGATAGCTCAGAGTAAGTACCAATAAATAGTGAGTGATGGAAAGGTGTAAGTTGTATTCTGGAGAGCAAAATTTAAATAGCATAAGAAGTAACAGCAAAGTCACTGTGATCTTGGTTCATACTTGTAGGTAGTATTTTATGAAATTTAGGTATTATGGGGTTGGTTTTGTTTTTTTTTTTTGAATGGTTTAGGATAAGCCTTTTGAAACTTACTAGTCTTTGATAAAGAAAAGATTAAAATATATATATTCTTAACATACATTGGAAAATCTTGGATTTGGTAAGAATCTTTGTAAACGTCTTTGTAATATGTAACAAGGCTGGAATGTGTGTTTGATGAGGTTTTTGTATTAAAACCAGGTTTATCTACTTGATCTCTTGGCTGTGTTTGCAGTCCTGCAAATAGTAGCCTTCTGAAGCACATAGGTAGAGTAAAACTGCTGGGTGCTGAGGATCTGATATCCCCGCTGTATGGGGATCGTCAGGTTTTACTTTGACCACGTCTAATTTTTTCCTGTGATTTGAATGCCCATTACAAGTTGGAGCAGCTTAGGTGTGCTCCTGCAGTGAATATTTTTGCTTAGTTTCACCCTAAAGGAATCTAGTTCATGTGAAACCTAATCTGGGATATGAATGGGAGGGACATTGGAGGGACAATGGGGAGATTCATTTCAGAAGTGCATGCCTGATCTAAACTAAAAAGAAAAAAAAAAATCATTGCAACCATCCTTCTTACAAACAATTTCCTTCATTCTTCAATAATTCGTACTAATTCATGGTCCTACAACGGGCTGTGAATCTATGCAAAAAGTGCAATTGTTTTTTTCTTATTCTGCAAGAGAACAAAGAAAAATTACTGGAAAAGGAAAGCTGGAAGTAAACTTCCTGTGATAGTATTCTGACTTCTGAATTGGATCTCTGTGTTCTTCATTGAAACAGGTGAAATTTTTCTATCCCTTCTGCCTTCTAGGCACCTTTCACAAAATGTAGTGGGCTCTGTAGAGTTAATTCCCCCCCACCCAAGTATTAAAAAGAGCAGAGTTTTTTATCTCAATACATAGATATGTATGAGTGTTTTCAGTGAGCTGCAGCTAGCATGCATACTTTCAGATCATGTCTAGAGTGTCATGAAAGTGTGACTTGATTTTCATTATCCACATGAGTTTACAGATTTCCAGAGATACTTTCAGATGTGCATTAAAACTTATTTTTTCTTGCTGAATTTAAGATTACTGTAACTTAGCTTTTCCTTTAAAATAGTTTATTATTGCTTCTGCTTGCAGCCTCATCAGAAAAATGGCAACACAGCTGGTAACAGCACATGTGTCGTCAGTGTTGCGGAATAATAATGCAACTGTTCAGCAGTATAGGACACCCCCTGTAAGTTAATACAATGGATACTGCTTATATTCTTCTGAATTGTTGTAACTTCAGATATGCCAATAAAGAACACTGCTCGCTTTCTTCTGTAACTGTTTTAGATGCTACATTTTTAAGAGGTACCTCTGGTTGGTTTGTACATTTTTATTCCCTGTAAAGGTGTCTGACCTTACTTGGTTTTATTGTCCAATTTAATGGAATAACCAAAGTAAACAAATTAATTGATGAGAACTGGTAGAGCCTGTTTATGTCCTGTGATAGGAACAAAAATGGTAAATAAGGGGAAAAAAGTTTTTCCCCCCATTGGTTAATTTATACTTGCATTTTTTCCTGTGTTTCAGCAGGCATTTGGAGGAACTTCTGGCTCACAGTTACTTCAGCCCCAAACAGACGCCATACTGCCGCCACACAAAAAAAAAGTTCCACCTGACACTTCCGTGAAGGAAAGGCTTTTCATACTTTTTCATCCCCATCCTTTACCTGTTAATGTGTTGGAGGATGTGTTCTGGTAAGACTCAATTTAAAAATAAGTGTTCTCTAACCAAAAAAAAAAACCCATGAAATAGTTACAATGAATGTTGAAAATAAAAAAGATTATCATCATGAAAACTCTTTCCAGAAAAGACAGTGCACGGTGATAAATAAGTAGTAAGTGATCAGTAGGTAACAGTTGCTCTTTGAAACAAGTGTGTAATGGAATTCACCTTGAAGCACAGATGCAATGTCATCAGTACTGCAGCTTTATTGATGAATGTAATCTGAAGTAAAATGTCTAGTCTCTTAACATTTTTAACCAAAAAAAGGTGGTAATTCTGGTTCTTATAGCCCAATTTATTTGGCATTTTCTTGTACAAATTTCTGTAAGGAATTTAAGTGTTTTGATAAACTTCCACAGTAACTTAGGGGAGTAAGTATAGGGAGGGTTTTTTTGATATATCTTGAGACATTTTGATGGTTTGCATCTTATTGACACTATTTCAACTGTCCTTTCACACTAACTCCCTATGAGGAGTGAAGACTTGAGAGACAATGTTTGTCATCTTTAAAACAAATCTATAGTTCAGCTGTTCTCCAGTATTTTGTATTATTTATTTTTAGTACACTTTTGAGGAAAAAGACACTTCCCTTTTCTATTAGCTGGCATTTGCAATAAATCTTTGGAAAGCCAAAATATTTTCAGAGCACTAGGAGAGGAAAAGAAACAGTATGCACTTGTGTGGAATTTAAAACTCTACCTATTTGATATACTGGATTTTCTTAATCAGATGTTGGAGAAGATAGCACCTTAGTCTTGACACTTGTATAACTTCAGTATGAAGCAAGCAGACTTCTTTTTTTTTTTTTAAATGTTTTTTAAGGAACTATCTAGGAATCTCCTCAGGACTTGGAAATCTGTGTTTTTCAGTAAAGCTTTAGCGCTTGCTTTCTGAGTCATTTCAGTGAGACCTTTTCAAAGATGAATCATAACTGAGCAAGTTCATTTAAGTGAGATGCAACTTTAGCCTCTGATTACCTGCCGGTTTGTGTGTGTGTGTTCTTTCTGGTTTGTTTGGGGTTTTTTGTTGTATTGTTTTTGTGGGGTTTTTTGAGTGCTATTTAGTGTTTGGGGACTATGGTATCGATTAGCTTTACATACTCTTTTAAATAAATCACTGGTGCTTATGGTTATATTGTAATATTCGATAGAAAACACTGCCTACAAACTTTTGGGTTTATTTCTATTCCTGCCTGGATTTCTAGAGAAGGGAATGTGAAAATTGGGTTTTTTGGAAGAGGGCAGCACAAGAAAACATAGCATACATATGAGAATATAGTTTTTGCAGCTACCAAATCATATATACTTCAGATGGGATAATAGGTATTTATGTTGCAGCAAAATCTGTAAATTATCTTTTGTTTCCTTCCTCCCTGCAGTCGTTTTGGACACTTGATAAAAGTTTACCTTGTGGCTGGAAAAAATGTGGGCTATGCAAAATTTGCAGACAGAGCAAGTGCCAGTGATGCCATAACTGCGTTACATGGCAAGATTGTGAATGGTGTCAGGCTTAAAGTAAGGTTGGCAGATTCGCCTACAGAAGAATCTAACAAACGTCAGAGAACTTACTGAGCAGGTGAGTACCCAGTCTGAGCTGTTACTTAAACTGAAGTTCAACTACTTGAAATAGTGATAGGCAAAGTATTTTGAAGTTAGATATGAACATGTAATGATAAACTTTAAGTCTATTTTTAGCTAACAACTTGAAATTTAATTTGTGATATATGTGTGTGTGTACATATACATGTATATATGGGTATGTGTATGCTTATATATGCACACGTACACTTTATTTTAGTAAAAATCTATTTTTATAATTTTTAACAAATATGAACCAGTTGATTAACATCAGTCTGGATGTTCATAGACATATTCACTTTATGTACACAAAAGTTTCCGTTAACATTGAAAAGAGTATGCAAAAATAAATAATGGAACTGAGATCAGCTTGTATGTGTGTCTTTCTTTCATTGAAAACACATGCCCTCACAATGGTGTTGGATAAAGATGCTGAGTTCAGTCCTTGAAGGGCAGAGGAGGGAAGGGGTAAATAAAAAAGGACATGGGAAGGGCAGGGAAGGTCGCCAGGCGAAACTGAAGGTTTGGGATATTTGGGTCATCTGGATTCTCAGAAATCAGGTGTAGCTGGAATGTGTGATAGTGAAGAAAATATTGCAGAGCCTGCTGTGGTGGGATTGAGGTGTAAGATGATTTGTTTGAAAATGTATTAGTTGATGCTTGTGGCCAATGAAAGTTCTCTGAGCTCCTGGAGAGGTTTTATGGACTTCAGGGACCAAAATTCACTTGTTCTTTTAAAACATTGGTTTGATTCAAATGATGTAACTTTAATTTTTTTTTTTTTAAGTTTTTTAACATTAGGACTATTGTCAAAAGAGAAATATAGTTGGGGGAGGAAAGGCTAAGCCCTGTTTTCTACAAAATAACTCCCAAATATTACTGTAGCTTCCAAATAATCTCAGCAGCCTTATTATCTTTATAGGGGACGTGCAGTTTTGCTTTAACTCATTCAGAAAACATCACATGAAATCCTGACTCTCTTCACATCAATATTTGCTTCTAAGCTTCACTCCTTGTATCTTTCATTGTGTAGATACTCTTTGTGACCTGGGAGTTGCAAAGACCAAAAAAAAAATTTTGCCTGCAGTGTTCTTTTCCTCCTTTTTTCTTAAGGACTTCTGTGTTGTTCTTTTGGTAAGCAGCAGTTACTAAAGGTGGCCTTAGTCTTTATACACAACTTGTTTTTTAAAAAAATGGACTTCTAGCATTCTTGTCCTGCACTGAATTGTAGTTAAAACTCATTTGAAACTTTTTAATCGGCAGCTCTGGTGCATGCAATTTTAAGTAAGTTGTACCCATGCTCTTATCTTTGTACAAAGGTTTTGTTTGTTTTTACTGTGACTTTCACTTCCAATAATAAAAGGCCAGCCTCTTGGTCACTACAGGAAAAGCTGTCATGTAAAGTGTAATGTAATACCAGGTCTGCCTTGACTACCTTTTACTAGAAAACTGTAGGTATAATATGCATCCAAAATTAGAAAGATGGTTTATCCTTACTTTTTCTTTCTTTGTTTTTAAGAAAGATAAGAGTGAGAAGACTGGGGGGTTCTCTTCTGATTGTCAATCTAAAACTCGGGGGGTTTTTTGTGTGGTTTTTTTTTTTTTTTTTTTTTTTTTTTTGAGAAGATTCTTTAAGGTCTCCAGCTGACAAAAGGTGCAGTTGGTCACCAAATGGTATTTTCAAAAGGCTAAAACCTACTTTGTATTTCAAATTATGTTCAAAAATTCTAATATATACCTATTACTGACTATTTGGAAACCTGAACTCCTTTATAAGGTAAGGGTAAGACATACACATTTGCTGTTGTGCCATTTTACCTAATTAGAAAACTGGAGAAATTAGATCATATTTGAAGAATAATCTTTTTACACATGCAAAATTACAGCAGAGCTCTTTGTCCTTTCCTAGGTTTTTGCATTTCTGTAAATTTTCATATAACAAGTACTAGTGTTAGTTTGTTCAAAGGTGGACACCCTAAATCTGTCTTCAACAGATTACCTGTAACTCTGGTGCAACTGACTGCTGAATATTTCCCCTCTGGTTAGCCTTTCATCTGCTGTGTCTGCAATAACACAGGTAGAAGAGCTTTCTAGATTTACTGTGTTACATCTTGTTACATCCTGTACGCTAGGTTCCTGATTCTGAGTCTCTTAGTGTCTATCTCTTCTTAGGATAGACAGACAAAAATACTTGCTCTCTTTTTGTCCTTTAGCCAGTTTCTCAAATTCAAATTAAATGGTACTTAAAAAGAAAGATTCTATCTGTGTTCCTTTTCAAAAGGGCTTGGCCATTTAAATCAAGCTTACTGCTGTGTGACTCTGCATTGGACTGACTGACAAATACGTTTTGCAGTAGTTTAGAGGCTTGTATTTTGCTTTCAGTTAAAGCTTTAAATTGTGCATGTGAAAGGGGATGGAATTCCTCTACCTTTGAAACTACTTGTCTTTTTTTTTTTAAGGTGTGAGAATATTAACTTTTGTTCTTTCTGAATTTTAGCTGGAGGAAATAATCTTAGCTAAAACTTCTGTGAGTTTTCACTTAAGGAAGTCATTGCTTCTTAAAAAAAAAAAAAATCCTTTCTGAAGTCCTGTTGTATTGCTTGCCTTTTATCTCTAACAAGATGACTGGATTTCTGCAATAGTCCTTTCTAGACAAGGTTCTCTGATTAAAAGCTGTGAGAGGATCTGCACATTCAATAGAATCTATATGAAAATAAACTTAATTCAATTTAAATAAAAACTGTGTTGAAATAAATATTTTATCTGACTTTTTAAAGTTTTTTTCCTCAATATTTTTATTATGTAAATAATCTTTTTTTAATATCACTTACAAAATTGTTTCTTAAAAATGTTTTATGGTGATGGTATGCTACTGATAATGCTCTTGCAATGTAAACTGATCATAAGAACAGCCTATTATCTTAAAACAACCTTTATTTATCAGGACAATTTGAATACATGTGTATGAATATTCTAATCCATCTAATGAATTTTGCAGGCTCTGGCTCTCCTACAAGTCAATGAAAATTCAATTGTTTATATGAGTAGTTAAAGGTAGCAGAGAAATGATGGAAATAGAGAACAAAAGGTTCTCTTAACTACTTTAAGTTCTAATGTAAGTTTGGGGGTTTTTTGGGTGAGGTTCTCCCCTCTTATGCTAAGTAAGTATTAATGGTTGAAATAATCACTTTAAGCCATCTTGCTTTGGGTCAGTGTAGGCTTGAGGAGACAACTACAGTGTCTACTTCTAGGCAGTTGCTAAAAGCAGAAGCTATCTTAATGTTCTTGCTGTTGACCAGCTTGTGCTCTCTACTCAGGTTTTTGCATTGCTTTGAGTATTTTGTGAGACCCTCACTGCAATTGTCTGATGCCTGTTGTGTAAATTATATCACTCCAAAACAGAAGAGGAAGGAAAGAATTTGGTATCTTTCAGAAGAATGTATTGTGGAATTCCGATTAATCCCTTCATTGCAACCCAGTAGTTCTATTTAAATACCACCACTCCCCCTCCAAAAAAACCCCACCCCACAAAGAAAAAAACCCACCCCAAACATTTTTCACAAAGCTTTCAAGTAGTCCTTAGAAAGCAGAGCTGCTAACTAGCACTATATTAGAAATGCAAAACATATCTAGGTCTGGATTCTGTGGCTCTTAATAGTCATTGCTGATTGGCTCTAACCCACAGCAAATGGATTCATTACATTTTTCCCCTTCTGAAAATGTTTGGTGTTATTTTAAATAATTATTTAGTTAGTTACTAAGTTGAAAAACATTTTTCTGTCATGAAATACTTCGTTATTGTTGTCCTTTTATTATCCTTGTCCTGAAAAAGTCCTGCATCACTGATTTGATTTGCATTCATTTTTTTTAGTTAAAACATTATTCAAATCCTGATGTTTAACATGTATATTTATAATTATTTATTTCTGTACAAAAATGTTTTTTAAAAAGTGATTGTATCGTAGTTGAAATATACTCCAGAACAAAAAAAAGTTAACTATATTTTGTATCAACAGTATACTGCAGAAAAATTGCTG